GTAGCTCCTCTGTAGGCGCCCTCACAAACTCCTCCAGACTGTCCATCATAGCACACTGTATGCACGTTAACGCTACTACACAGCCTTCACGCTACCGCAGCCTGTCCCTCTAACTGCCACACATAGTTGGGTCCAGGACCTCAATCCCGTGACCATTCTCTGGCTAACATGTTTTGACGATTGATTTGACATCTATGGACCTTTTACATAGATGTCAAATCAATCGTCAAAACATGTTAGCCAGAGAATGGTCACGGGATTGAGGTCCTGGACCCAACTATGTGTGGCAGTTAGAGGNGTGTGCCTTGGCAGTCGTTATTCATTTGTTTTAAAGCTCAATGAATAACAAAGAAGACCTCTGACCGGCACTTTTCAAATTTTGTCCGGAAGATTTCAACTTTAATTGATATGTTGACCGGCGAAAAAAAATCTAACTGAAACCCTGCCGCACGGTCCCCTCATCCCTTGGAAGAGGCGGAGAGGTGGGTGTTTGTGATCTGCTGGTGGACTACCGGAGAGAATTACAGCGAGGGAGGGATTGCATTGAGGAGCAGCAGGAGCAAACGCTTGCCTCGGGGAGGGAGAAAAAGAGCCAGAGCATCCACAGCGGAGAATAAACAGAAGGGCAACCACGGCAACCATGCGCGGGAAGTCTTCTTCGCTGCTTTTGTGGCAGACTACAGTGCCACTTACAGGCCTGGCATATGTACAACAGCGTCTCCAGCGCTTTCGAGCGGCAATGGCCGTGGCCGTGGCCCAACCCCCGATTCCCCTGATAGGTGGAGAGTTGCCCATATAGGCGGAGCACCCCTTTTCTCACGTCAGAAAAATTAACGTCTGTATCAGCTCCGTTGCAGCCCAGTTTTTAGAGATTTGGGTATGGAGGAAAATAGAGATGGTTGTGTTTTATGACACTTGGTGAGTTCCCTGACACACCGGGGACACATATTCATGTATAAAAGACGTACAAAAGTGCATTTTGCATGATAGGTCCCCTTTAAACAAACCCTTTAAACATTGTTTCTGATTGTTGATGTAAGTATGCTATGATTTTGTTGTAGTTGTACAAGCTCAGGGTTATATTTTAAGACATAGCTTTTTGCTATGTGTGTTGGCCTTTTCTTTAACATTTTGCTGAATTTTTCAGAAACTTTGTTTTCAGATGTTGTTACCTTTGGGAGCCAGAGTAGCTGTTTGCACTTGTTTCCATTCTGGGACTGGCTATAACATTTAGCATCTACTCAAACTTTATACTTTCAAAACAGATATCTAATTTAACTTTTGGCAAGAAAGCATATATGCATTTGAAAAAAAACATGGACTATTCATCTAATAAATTGGCTCTTATAGGGACCCTTCTTTCTCTAACCCTGCAATGATTCTGCTTCGAGTTATTGATGAATATTACTCTATTTGCTTGAATAAACGCTTTCTGTCTGCTCTTTACTGACAGAAAGTGGGTCATAGAACAACAAAAACAACTGTGTCGTTGTGAACGGTAATTTCTATCATGGTTGAACAGGAACTAAGCTAAATAGAAACTGCTGTTTATATCCCCTAAAACAAAAATAAAATCTCCTGACGGACACTTTAAAAACTCCCACAAATGACTCAGCATCAGCCTGCAGTGTTATGGCAGAGGCGATTCATCAGAGATTCACAACATGTGGCTGCCATATGCAGGACAAACACAGTGGCAGAGGACTGATGGCTCAAAAAACAAACCCAAAGAGGGACATGAGGCTGAGCCGTCTCCAGAGTTGCAACATAAACAACTGGACTCCTGCTAATGTGACTATATTTGACAGATTATTATACTGCATAACACTAACAAATCACATTTACATAGTGACATCACAACTCTTTACAAGGGTTTTGAAGCGATTCAACTACAGTATTAAATAATAGAATTACTGAGCTAAATCAGACTATAATATTATTAGCTGATTGTATTATTGCACAGGACGAGGATTGTGGAGTTTGTCCCATTATGTGAGGCAGTGTTAAAACACTTGATGGGCAGTATGGGGAAGAGGACTGATAAAGTGAGTAAAACAAACCCTATACATATGGCCATGTGAGTAATGTCAAAATCTTTCCCTTTCAACAGCTGAAGAGAAATGATCCTTCAATCTGCAAGCAGCTGTGTCCAACAAGCGGAACATCTCTCTGTTAGATCCCAGATGCAGCTGGAACATGTGGCAACAACAATGATAACAATTATCTATTAAACCAAGCCACATCCCTGAGTCTCCTGTCCTCGCATTCAAAGTATTTTATTAAAACGTTTCTGTCTGTTCTACATAAAAATGCCTCGCACAATTGGCAGTTATAGAAGCAACACTTCTACTCAAGCTTTCAACGACATCTGGAAAGGAAAACACGGTTGAGATGAAGTTGCCGTCGGACAAAGAAATTGTCAGTACACTGAATATGCAAGCAAGCGGGTGATTAGCTTAAAGGTCCCCTATTATTCTGTTTTTCATCAATATATTATAGGTCTAAGATATATACAAAACATGTCTGAAGTGTTTGGCTCCAAACACCAAGCAGATCATTGCAGCATCCCATAATCCCCTCTGTTTCAGCCCTGTTTCCAAAGTGCTGATTCTCTGTCTGTTACTTTAGATGAAAATAAGGAGCCACTCTCCACGCCCCTCTGAGAGATATTTGGTTAAAAAGAACACAATGGTGCTCTAGGAGGGGATTCAGGTGATAAGGTGGGTGATTGGCTAATGGTTACACAAGACAAAAAAATCGTTATGACATCATAGAGTGTCCAAAATCACAGAGGAGACACATGTTTAAAAAGTGAATTTTGCATAATAGTAATAGGTGACCTTTAACCTAGCATAGCAAAAAGTCTGGAAACATGAAGATATAGCTAGCATGGCTCTCGTCGACTGAATGTTTTAATGTAATTTTTTGTATGTGTTTTTTGTTATTGCAACACAAGCAGACATGTAAAACTAAAAGTGGCCTCTTTATATTGTTAGTATAGAGATGACAGTGATATTAACCTTCTCATCGCGAAACGTCAAACTATTCATTTGAAGATTTTTGCATTGTGCATTGCAAAGGATTCAGCACCTCTCACCATGACCACTCTCTTTTACCAGGTGATAACGACAGTGAATGTTTGTCTGATCGCCACACGGATGTTGTTTTAGTGGAAAACAGGCAAATGAATCCCCTGATAGTGACACATTAAAACATTATTTAGAGAGGGCACAACATGAAAGGCAGGTCGATTTTAATTGAGTGACAAGACGAAACATGTGAAACAGCTGTTGTGTAGAAACTGCTATCATCAAATTTACCACAAACTACTTCATGTCCTTTTATGTCGTATATAACAAAGGTGATCCAAATGATGTTGTATTGATTCATTACTAATACCTCTAAGCTCTCTTCAACTATGATTAAGTCAAATTGATTATATTAGTTCCTTATTTTCACCTGCATCATGACTAACAAATAATTTGAAGTTTATGGAGCCATTAAAAGTTATTGCCGGATATTTTCGAAGGATTTATTTGGGATTAGCACGAAGC